TGTATTAAAATGAGCATGCATTAGCTCAAAGATTGAGCTATGAAAACATGCAATGGAAGAAAATGAGATTTGAATTAGGTTTTTTTGAGTATGTGAGCTCAGATTTTTCGTTCATTCATAGTTTGAAATAAATTGATGAGTTGCATTGTAAGGTGATAGATTTTTGGATGAAGAGATCAAAGAACAAGAACTCAAAATTTGAAAATACAGGTTTGGATTTCCATTTTTCCAGCCCTTTCTCTCTTTCATTTCTTCTTGTGATTTTTCAAACAAGGGCAGCTTAAATAAAAAAAGGGATTACATTGCTTAGTATCCCCTCAACAGTACAGAGAATTACATTTAATCCATGTTTGCTAGAGATTTGACATATTCAAATTGCAGTTTGTAATCTAAGCATCAAATCTCAACCCCAACCAACTATTAAAGACACAAGCACACCTACCACATTAATTGAGGAGAGTTACAATGCAAAACGACACTTCTAACAATTGGTGTGGTCATTGGAAACGTACTTTACACAAGAGGACACGAATGGTTCATGAAGACTTTTCAAATCAGGTAGCCGAGGAGGCAAATAAGGGGGTGTGAAAGATTGAATGTCGGAGAATGTAGTGAAAATGATATATTTCGGCCATGCTAGCGTTTCATTTGTATGTTTCTTTTTTCTTCTTGTCTCTGTTTGTGTGGATTACAAGTCCAGTTAAAGACCAATGTATAGTATCAAGTTCAGTGCATGACCAATATAGTATAGTATGTAATTTAAATCTGCTTGAATTGATCCAGGCAAGATCCTCTTATTGGATAGAGGAAAATACCAGAGTTTAGGCTATGATTTTGCTAGCTGGTGTCCATTCCCATCTTATTGGGCAGAGCAAACACAGAGGGACGTGTTAGATATTAGTGGAAGTGCATTAGTGTGAAGGGTTTCGTAAGTGTTTTGTCTGCTGGGAATGTCTTCTGGACTAAGACGTCTTTTGAGATTGGTTGAAATGTATATGCGTTGGGGTACTGCTTGTACCCTGCTTAATAAAATTCATCTGTCCATAAAAAAAATAAAAAATAAAGAACTCTGCTTGAATACATTCATTAATGTGAAAATGCAACTTATCATTAAAAAAATGCAATTTGAGAAAGGTGTGAAGTTTTGGTGGAGGCATGTGAATCTTTGGTTGAACATGCATGATTTGTTCTTTTTTTTTTTTCTAAAAAAATAAATGTACAGAAGACCATGCACAGACAGGGGGAAACATACTTCATTGCAGGTCTCCCACGGTCCCACCTTAGTCAGGTATGTCAATGTTCTTGTTTTATTATTTGATCAACTTGCTTGACTTTTGTTCCCTTGCTGTCATGATCGTATCTTAGAAGTATTCAAGTCAAGTTGCTTCCGTGGATTATGCAGTGGTTGGATTCTGATAGATATGATATTTTCGTCAACTTGCCTAATCAGTTTTCCTGCTCATATTGACAATACCGCATATATAAGTCTCTAATTGTATATCATTGGTTTTTTTTTAAAAACAAAACAAATTGATGAGCTGAATTTAGATACATATTAATGTTGAATTTTTGCCTTGACATTATTAATATTTGGAAGAATTTTATGAGATGTTACATGGGTTTCATTCTTTGTGCAGAAAATGACTTGGATGCATAATAATAGGAGTTTTGGAATTAATTAAATATCTTATGGAAGTTGAGGGACTGAACTGCAAAAAGAAAGAGGCTTCTTTGGGACCTAAATGAATGAATCTTAAGTTGAAAGATCTCAGTGCTCATCGTACAAAACCTGAAGGATCAGATCTGCAATTTTACCATTGAAAAAATTGCAAAAGAGGCCAAAAACCCGATACGGGTGTGGTGTCGACACATAATCGGGGTGTCGACACTATGCATTATGCGTCCAGAATCACAGTTTCTGTTTCTTGTTCTGTGTCGATATGTAATTTGAGGTGTCGACACCAAGCATGCAGCGTCCAAACTCCCAATTTCCTATTTTGTTCCGATTCCTACTTCTCTTCTAATAGGGTTTCTTAAACTCTATAAATACCCATTCAAAAAATCAGTTTGGGGGCTTTTGGAGAGGAGACCAAGAGAGACGGTTACAAGGAATTCAATAATGAAAGAAAATCAAGGCTTGAGATTTTATATCGTCAAACTGGTTTTGCTCTTGTCCTTGAATTTTATTTTATGATGTTGGATACTCGTATATTCATCATGAGATTGTTGATTCTCTTTTCTTTAATTATGAACTGATTTGCCATTTAAGGTTACGATGTAACATGATCAATTTAATATAGAGTTGTATGATTTTTATATTTTCAAGGTTTATTATTTTATGTAGAGTATATATTTTTGTTTTTAATGCTTTTTAATGATTGGCCACTATTAAAACTGATTTGGAGAGCATAATTGAAACCGAGAGGAGATTTTATGCAATAACTTCTAGTAATATATACCATGAATTGAACGAAAGCCAGAGATGGACCAACGTGATTTGTGCAGCATTAGTGATAAGTGGACTTAATTTTCCATGTAAACTAGGGAATTTTACAGAACATAATGCATCTTTATCTATCTAAATTCACATAGAGATATAGTAAGTTAATAGGTGAAGATAGGTTTGGTGTAACTTGAGAAAGTATATCAAATAAGATAGGAAATCCCGCTGTCACATAAATAATAAATACTTTGGAAGTATATTAGTCTAAATTCTATATTAATTGATTATAGTGAAATCGGATGCCTTAGAATTTTAACTCTTGATGTTACTCAAAGTCAATTTAGTTTTCGTTAATTAGTTTAGTTATTTAGTTTAGGCAAATCATTTAATTTCAATTGTTCAAATAAAATTAGAATTAGTTAATTTTGGTACTTAGTTAGTCTACAGTCTCTGTGGGAAGATACTCTATTTTCATCATTATATTACTTGAACTGACTAGTACACTTGCTAGAGTGGAATTAGCTCATCAAGTTTTTGGCGCCGTTGCTAGGGACTGTATTGATTCTAATTAATATCAAGCAGATTAATTCTAGTTTTAATTTGGATTTTTTTTTTATTTAGCAGGTGTGCAAGTTAGTGCATGAATCGTTTTGAAAATACAGAACTTGCACCTTTTGATCCTGAGATTGAGCGCACTTTTCATCAATTGAAAAACCAGAGAACAACAGTAGTTGTTAAGCAAATTGACATCATGGCTGAAGATCCAGTAGCAAATCAAGCCATTCGAACATTGAAGGAATATGCTTCACCTTCAATTGAAGAAACTGTTTCAAGCTTAAGGAGACCAGCTATCCAAGCAAATAATTTTGAAATTAAGCCAGCAACAATTCAGATGATTCAACAATCTGTGCAATTTTGTGGGTTGCCAAGTGATGATCCTAATGCTCATATTGCTAACTTTTTAGAGATTTGTGACACTTTTAAATATAATGGAGTTCTTGATGATGCTGTTAGACTAAGGCTTTTTCCATTCTCTCTGCGAAACAAGGCAAAGAATTGGTTAAATTCTTTACCTGTTGGGTCAATCACCACATGGGATATGATGGCTCAAAAATTTTTAAGTAAGTTTTTCCCTCCTGCTAAAACTATTAAGATGCGTAACGATATTGCCACTTTTGTGCAGCTGGATATGGAGTCATTATATGAGGCATGGGAGAGATACAAAGAGCTACTCAGGAAGTGTCCACATCATGGTCTACCTATATGGTTATAGGTACACACTTTTTATAATGGTTTATTTCCTAATAAACGTACCATGATTGATGCAGCTGTCAGAGGATCATTAATGAGTAAAAATGCTGATGAGGGTTATAACCTCATAGAGGAAATGGCTTCAAATAGTTATCAATGGGGTTCGGAAAGATCACACATTAGGAAAAATGCTGGAATTCATGGGGTTGATCCCTTTACTGCTTTGACAACACAAATTGAAGCTTTAAACCAAAAGTTTAAGCCTTTATTGCCTTTATTGCATTCAAAAGTGGGATTCGAGGCAATGACAGCATATTGAGACACAGTTTAAGCCGTTCAATAAGGAAACTAGTTTCGGTACTATTATTCAAATTGAAATGGATCTAGATAACTATTTCAGACCGGTTTCGCTCCCTATCAAGCATAAACTTCTAGAACTTTCACCTCGTTTTTTACTTTTCCATTTTGCATTTAAGGACATGACTCATTTCCTATAACACGCTTCTGTTTATTAAAGATCCTAGTCTATACCACTCACCGAGCTAACGTCCCAAAAAGAGGCACAATTTGAACTGTTAGGCTAGGTGATCGATTTTGGTCATATTATTCAACCCAAAACTGGTCTGAATAACTTTTCAGACCAGCTTCATTCCCTATAGATGATTGAACTTTTATCTACCCATGTTTGGGCAATGGAACGTAGCAATCTTATCTTCACCATTATTCGGACCATTTTTTGTTGGGTTATGTTTGTCGCTTTTTTACCCAAAAAATTTAAATGTGGAATTCAAATTTTTTGATATGTTCAATCCAATACTGGTCTGAAATACTTAACTGCCAAAATTTTCCCAAACAAAAAAAAAAAAAACTTTCCATGTGGAAAAATTTAAAATTTTTATTTTAGACCGTTTACAATTTGTATAGTTGCTACCTATTTAAGGCACGACTCTACCTAATTCCTCAAATCAATTCTTTTTTTTTTTTTTGGTTTTTTGCCCCTCCTGTTCTATTACAACTCTCTTTTTTATTTGTAGGAAATGATGAAAATAAGAATCTAAAATGGGTAAAACAAATTGTTTATTTATT